AGCATCCATCCAACCCACCTCGCAAGTAATTAACCGCCTTTGCCACATCATTATAGTAATGCCACAGCGCCTCTTGAACTTCATCCCGGGTCGCCGTCACAGACGGTTCGCCGGAAAGTAACTGCGCAAGCACTTCCGCCGTACATTGCTCCAGGATCTCTTGCTCTTCCGGGTCGGCAGAGTCATATCCGTCATCGTAGTCGTCGTCATCGTAACTGACATTCTTCACACGTAGTCGCGACATGGTAGAATTGTACTTTGTATCAATGTGTGAAAGGGCGGGGCAGCAGGATCGTGATGAGGGTATCTCGGTGTGGGCGGGGTCGGAATCCAGAAGCAGATACTTGACAGAAAAGAGTAAGGGGCTCGGCTATAGTACTCTGAGACTTTCCCAATCTTATAGTATGACATACGTTCTTTGAAAGGGAGGTAGCGAAAAAGTGATGAACAGGGGAGAACCAGAGTTCCGCCGGATTGTTGTGAAGGTGAGAGGTTCATGGCCCACCACGTCATTTCTCCACAGTTGCTGCTCTCGGTTTGCAGTATTTCCGTCAACTCCAGATGGGCTATCGATGAGTATGTGTATACAGATACAGATAAAGTCAAATTTGTTTGTTCAATTTTTAATGCAAGTCTAACGGATGAAGTCCCTCATTGCATAGCCGGGAGTTTCTATTACTCCATCGGATATACAGTGTGGTAACGATGTTTCTATGAATATTCTCAAGCAATCCAAAACCGCTCTACATGATCGGGATAGGTGCAACACATCATGTCCATATAACCCGTCTATCGTGTGCCATGTGTATGCCTTGATCATGAAGAGCCCTCGGTGAAAGATCGCATTCCTTCTGCTGCGATACATCCGCAAATATGCACAACTTACTTCAGAGGGCTTCCCCCGAAGAAATCCCCTGCCCCTGGTCCACCAAAAGTGGCATTACTCGGCGTAAGAGCAATCGAACGTCGGAATGCCTGTCGGGGAGTCGCTGGGGCGCTGGTCGTGGCTGTGGCTGTGGCAGCAACCCCTACATCAGGTGTGCTAGGTGTGTTGCGACCGCTGCTATTCTGTATGGTCACTGCCGTGCCTGGTCTAGAAAGGACCGTCGCGACGCCATTCCGAGGTGGCGGTCTAAAACCGAGTTTGGATCCTTCGCGGAAAATTTCTTCCAAGATTTGATTCACAATACCTGCATCCTCGTATTCCTGGAACTTCTTCCACAAACGAAGAGCCATGCGTGCGTCTTCAATTGAGTCGTGGCCCTGGTTATTGTCGGCCGGTTCTTCTTGGATGTATTCTTTGAACACGGCCCAAGCCAAATATCGGAGGCTAAGCCGCCGGTTCTTGCCAGGATGGAAGTAAAGGTATTGTGTGTCGACCGTCTGGCTCTTAGGGACTTGTATGTTGATCTTGCGAAAGTCGGAAGCAAGACCATGACCGACAAAGACGCAACCCAGGTTGAGAAGCAGCCATAATTTCTTGTAAGCTACTTTGAGAGGGACCAAGTTGTGTTGACTGGTCCTTGGGTCTAAGTCGCCAGGCTTAATACCGGAATACTGAGTGACATAGTCGACAATCGGCTCTTTGATAGTAATATAGTCATCGATGAAAGGTACTCCCTCATGGACTCCCGATCCCCGAAGGACGGATACTCGAGCAAGCCCACTTTTACTGGGTCGCACAATTTCCTGTGACCCGTCGGCTTTCACATCGATCTCCGCTTTCTCGAGGTCAACAAATTCTGTATCAAGAGCTACGGGAGTGCCAGGGGTTGGCTTCTCCTCTTCTGTAAGTGTTTGGCGGGTTTCCACGGCACGGCCACCACTGGGGTCTCTCGTTAGCACAAAAGATGTTAGCTTGGATGCAATCTCACTCACTTCAATGACCAATCGCGGAAAAGCAGAGTGGTATCCAGGACATTCTTCCAGGAGTCATCGACAGCATGGCGAGCATCCTTCGCCTGATACGCAAGGATACAGGGCGACTTCCATGGCTGATTGAACCGAAGAGCCTCGTCCTTGTCGACTTCTGTCACAAGGAAGTCATTAAACAAGTGCCACCTGTTCTTCGCCTCCGCTTCGCGAGAGGAGATAGAGACATTGATGAATGACACCAAGTGCGGTTTTTGATGCTCTGGAATGTCGATTTCAGAGACAAGGCCTACTAACTCATATACCACAAGATTAGGCAGCTTGTTCTGCAACTGAGTCTTGAGCTCGTCTCCTTCGAAACACATAACTTGGCCGTTGTCAACGGCAATGCCCACCTCCTCGGGCAACCAGCCAGGGATCGACCATAATCTCCTGCAGATGGGGTTACTGAGAGCCGCATTGAGTATCAAGACCAGAGGCATGCGATGGATAGATTTCCTTATGGTAACTTGCTGATAGCGCCGGCAATAGTTACACCATCCCCTGTTCTGCGTCTCTCGCTCAATACTTGCTCGCAGGATATTCGAGAACCGGAAGGCTGGATTTCTGCGAGCTTGTTTGATATCAATGGCCGGGTAAATCAGCTCATTGGCTAAGGAGTTTCCAGGTCTGACGATCTCATTCTGGCAAAACATGCATCGAATTGATTCAGACGCAATGGTCGAAAGCCTCTGGTCTAAATCATCGGAGCTCGGGACAATCATGCGGAAGTCGTGCGCGATCTGGTTAAGGAAAAATCTATTCACAGACTGAATGGCGGAAGAAAGTGACTTTGTGGTTAAGTTCTCCTCAAACAGGCCGAGATTCGAAGCTTCTCGATAGCTGCTGAAAGTTTTCAAAAGATTGGTGGCTTGACAATTCTGCCCATTGGCCTTCTCAAGCATATCGAACAGATAACCCATCTCGCACAGGAGACAAGTCTCGTATATACAGGTGCTCGCTGCGTGGTGAAGTGCGAGGTTTCGCACAAGAGGAATGAATTTGAGAAGTTGGAGGAGCGCGTTCGTGAAGGAGTTGGCGATGTGTGTTTCCAATCCGGAAAAAGTGGTCTGGTTATAGAATCTGCCGCAATGTTGGATGAGTCTTCTCAAAATCAAAAGGCGTCCAAATGTTCTTACCTAAAATCAAAGTCGTCCACACCAAACCGACTGTATTTGATTTCGACACTACTGTACTTGAGTAGGGGATCGTCTTCGGCGTCTCCTTTGAGCTTCGCGCCTGCGAGGGCCTCCGCCGTGTCGCTCACGGAGGCTTCCGATCTGAATTTGCTCTGCTCCCTTGCCTTCTCACTTAAGAATTTGGGAGCGATAAGAGCTGGTTCGGCGGTCGTCAGCGCACGGGTATTCTCGACTTGATAACGCCGCGTCTTCTTCGGGTTCGGCGCGTAATGCCCCATTTCCGCAGGGCGAAGATAGGGGATGATACTCTGGTCGATGGGGGCGGGAGGACTGCCGACTTCGAACAAAAGGTGACTAGGCCACGCAGACAATAACCGTTCCCGATAATATGGCATCCCAATCATATTCAAGGGCGTGTCTGGAGACCAGTCAAGGGGAGGCGGTCGAGGAACGACATCTGCGAACTCGACCTCCTTGCTCATCTCATTAAAATGAATCTTAGACGGTGAGCCCCATAAATGGATGGAGCACTCCGCATCGTTAATAGCCAGAGCTTCTCCAGATGGCGAAATGTCAATTCCCAGCATGAAAGATACATTGGCTTGGCGAAGGTTGATCGCATTAGGATTCATCAGATCGACGACTTGCAGCTGGCCAGTCTGAGAAGCAACAAAGCTCGTCGTGGATAGCTTCGGGTGCATGCGCACGTACGCAGCTCCAGCATGAAAAGGGATGGGAGGTAACGGCGAAAGGGTCTTCAAGTCGTATACGTTGGCCAAAGGGTCCACGATCGGGGATCCCAGGTGTCTGACGGAGAAACCGCAGGTGACCAACAGATCGTTGCGAGCATCCATATCATTGATTGCTGTCCCATGTGACTTCCAAGACTTCACCACCCGAAAATCCGTCAGGCTCAACGCGTTGACCGATCCCGTATCCGTCGCCGCACAGAGATACCGACTCTTCTTCATCATAGTATAATTGTGATCTGTATGCAGCTTGTCGACAATGATTCCCTTGTCAATGTCAATCGTAAACATCGCCCTCTGACATCCCGCAACAATGATCTTGTTGAGCTGCGCCGTGAAGCTCATACAGTAGAGATCCGTCATCTCCTCGTGACTGATATGCCATTGCGTGAGTCCACGTCGCGTAATCATGTGCACACTCTTTGGTGATAACGATATGACGCCCCTCTCGTGGAATAGAATTTGTCGAACGGGGCCATCTGATACCGGATGAGCGCGAACAGAAGTGTAGCGTTGCAGTTCGGGGCCGTAAAATGAGGTGATTCGGCCCTAGTAGCCACGGCCATACATCAGCATCGGAAGTAAGTCCCCAGAAGCAGCAAAACTCACAAACTCATTGCCGGCCCAAAGTAGTTCTGACACATCGTCGAATGCTATTGTCGTCGCGACGGTTGGTAGGCCATGCGGGCTTGGGGGAGGCACCGGAATGCGCGACAATTCGTCCCAATCGGCCTCCATGGCCTAAGCATCCCAGATGGGATAGACTCGATAACAAATTTATGTGTGCCGACCAAGAAAGAACGCTCGTAGTTTAGAGAACGATATGATTTTGCCCATCCGGAAGCAGGGCGAACAAAGACATCGTTCGGTGGAGGCGCGATTGCGGGGAAGCTGATTTTAGACGTCTTCTTGTTCAAGGTTATGCACGATGATGGGTCGAAAGACGGGATCGAACTTTACTGATACCATTGTCTAGTCATCCTAATCTTAGAGTGAATGGAAGGATCACAGAATTGTATCAGATAAGATACCAAGCAACTGTTATGCTGGAGGGTAACAATTACCTGAGGACGTGTGATCATGGCATCACGTGAAATGCATCTGTTTTAAGACCCATTGACCCTGATTAGGCCTAGCTTCCTGAATACGGCTTCCTACCTGAACAAATTGAGATGCTGTCTCTGCACGCTGCTATATTTCAATGGCTATTTATATCATTTTACTGAACGCATGCACTCCTTGTGCATGCTTTCAATCGTAGTTAAGATATGAGCGTGAATCTACGATTCAAAAATTGCCAACATGAAGTGTTTTGCACGAAACCGAGCCCCACAGAAGCTTATTATACCTCATGAATGTGAAAACAAAAAAGCTATGAGGCTCATAGAAAGATACACAACGAAGAGGTCACCGCCGGTCGGACCTACCATTATCGGTAATAGGAGTTAGGATTCGAGTTGGCTGCGCCAGCTTGCGATGGATTGTAGGCCTGATACTCCCCTCCACTGGGTGTTCCAGCTGTCAATGAAGGATACGGGGTTGGCTTCGATGCCGTGCTGGGGACTGGTGGTGGCTGGTGCGATGGAGGCGGTTGATGAGCGCCGGGTGCCGTAGGGTAAGGAGGTTGTTGTAGTGTCTGCGGCGGAGGTTGTGAGGCGAAGCCAGCAGTAGGAGGCTTGGATGCGTCCTCGGGGGATAGCCTGAAGGCGGATACTCTTGTTGCTGATGCTGGAACTGCTGGTGGACACCAGCTGGAACTTGTGCGCCAGAGGGAGGATAGGGTAACCGCTGACTTGAGGACGGATGTTCGACGGGTGAATCATATACAGAAGTACCTAATTCTTGCGGGTTGTCATATGTAGATTCTGGACGGTGGTGGACAGGCTGGTATGAGTCTGGCGGTGGCTGCTGGTGCTGTGGGAAGGATGGACCAGCAGGTGGAGTACGGCCGCGTGGATCAGGCGAGTGTGACGTTGGAGGATACATGTGCGTCTGGTCCTGCGGCCGTGGGCTGAAGTATCGTTGAGGATCCGACTGTGGAGGTCCCTGGGGATAAACAAGAGGCGCGGCAGGTCCAGGGTATCCGTACGGAGTCTGGCCGGGTCGACCATACTGGGGTTGTGCAGGGTGCGACATGGATGCTTCCAGGAGAGATTCATAGTCTCGCCGGGCTTTGATGAATTTCTCATTGAGCTGCGTAAACTCATCTATTTAAGTATTAGCCAAAGAAACCTAAACGCGGGGCCTTTAACGACATACCCTTCTTTTGAGAATATTTCCCGATGAGCTCAATCAACTTGGGCCGAATTGACAATGTCGAGTGGTACAAAGCCGTGATTTCCTCGTTGTCTTGCACATTCAACTCCGAGCTACGAGTGCTCAAAAGCGTAAGAAGCTTCTCAACATTCTTGATTTGCCCAAACACTTCCGCCTCCATTTGGGCTTCTCTCTGCAGCTCTTCTACCGTTGGATCTGGCAGTTTCTCCACGTAGTTCAGAGGGAAAATTCCCGTTTGGCCCCTTAATGAGCCCTTCCACCAGTCCTTGTACACGGACTCGAGCACTGCAATAATGTCCCCTTTCCGGAATTGTAATTCACCCGGTTCGGAAGGCTGGAAATCGAACAATGCTCTGACCCGGGAGACGGTGGCTGCGGAAGTACCTGGGGGCACCGCTTGCGATGGCGCTGCCTGGGTCTGGCTGGCTGGTGCGGAGGCAGACGTGCTTGATTCCGCTTTAGGCTCAGGGGCCGCGCTGGGCTTCTCCCTAATGGAAAGAGCCAGCGCCATCTGCAATTCTTCTTCTTCCTTCTGGCGATCCGCCTCGGTGATCTCCCGTTTCCCGGGTTTAGACGGAGGCTGTAAGTTGGGATCTGAGAACAAGAGATCAGTCCTTGCACCATGGCCAGCTTTGGAGTTCCGTGAGCTTACTCTGCGTCTTCAACTTCATGTAGGCCTGCTCCATGATTCCGAAATCAGGGTTGTTGGCGAACATCTGTGCCCACTCCTGCATGCGCTCCAAAATCTTTGGCTTGACTTGCTGATGGGTGTTCTGCAGCGTGTCCTGTCAGTACGATCTTCAAGAAATCAGCGCGCGCAGCTCACCCTGTCATTCGCGAGACGAAGAAGAGCATCAGTGAAACTTCTCGACGCGAGTTCGCGGTGTATCTTCGGGCCACAGTTTTGAGCCAATGCATTGGCCAGCTAGAAAGAAGCCGGGAGTCAGACACCAAAGGTAATTATTCCACGTTCGCAAGGAGCGCAAACCTCTAGGGTATAAAGTTGCACATTGGCATTTCTGTGTGCCAATCTCTTGATCATCGCGGCAACGGCATCCTTCGCCCTTTTGAGAAGATCCATCAGCATCAACTACATTTGCGGACTCGAACCAACGCCCAGTAGCAAACCTACCCCGATTCCTCAGCAGCAACCTTGTCGCAGACATCCTAGTCACCCGATATTAGCTTCTCCTTTTCCACGCAACCACGAAATCGAAGAGGGCCGCATACGAGGATATACTCCCAGTTCTCGGAGGTCAGGTTCTCGTCCGTCGCCTTAGCTGTTGAGACAAAAAGCCGTTAGCGATCTTCCGACAACATGCAGTATACCTGAACACAACCAGTTACAGGATAAAAGACTTACCGACTGCATCATCAAATGCGTTCTGTTGTGCGCGAAACATTATTCCTTTCTTGTCTCACTCCTCCCGCCCAGGCAGAACAATTGTGTCGGAGATGAGCTGCTCTTTTCGACTCAATGAAATGCCGACGTAGAGATATTCGACAAGACCTGTATATAAGATGCCTTCAAGAGGAACTGAGGCGAAAGTTCCTACTGTCAATGTTTGAGCGGCAGTGGTTCAGTCCGTCGGCGTCAGCTATGGTAGGTAGCTAGATAGTAGATAGCTCCTTCAGGTCCGCCTGACAGTGCGGGGGTAACGGTTCAGTCGCGGTATCTGTGTAAATCGGTTCGGCGTGAGAGGGGACGCAGATATTTCAGGATATCCCAGTATGATTGGTTATATAGGCTCTCTCTGAAAGAGGGACAAGAATTCCAATTCAAAAACAGTTGAGAGGATTGGAGTGCAAAGTGTAATGGCTGCAACCTGATGCAAAACAGGTGACGATGGTCCGCAGCCGCAGGGCAGTGCCTGCTCCACCTGAGTCAGCAGGGCAGGGGGACAGGCCGCCAAATATGACGATGTCCGACTCCGTAGCACAACATTCTTCAGTTTGATAGCTTCACTTGCTAAAAAGATCTTCCAGATACAGCAAACCATAATTCCATGTGCCTTGGACTGCTCCTGATGTCACCTACGTCTCTTATCAAACTTTTTGAGAAATATTTCTCGAGTTAATCAGTATATAGGAAATCATATTGCATGACTCTGCATTGCCATGAGCACTATAGAAACTAGAGACGCTCAAGATCTCGCTCTTATCGCTGCATTAACTAGTAAATGTATCTCCTTCTGTAATGAACATCAGCAAAGAAAGGTTTGTACACTTTTCGGATAGCTATAGCATGTGGTTGAGTCGAAATGGCCCGTCGTGAAGAAGAGAAGGGACTATAAGCAGAGCATCAGATAATCCAGTGGAAAGAGAGGGTGGACGGGGACCGAGTACAGCAGGAAAAGTCTACAGAGATAGTACAGGCTCAAGAAAGCAAGCTCAAAATACAGTCAAGCTCCCACACAAATCAGTCGAGACATGAGCATCGGCACGGAGCTGTAACAGCAGAAAAATAGAAGCTAAGGCACATGACATTATTCGATTCAATCAAGTACACCTCTTTCCGGCGCACATGCCATGCTACAGCGCCCAAAGAACGGTGGAGAGGTAGAAAGTAGGACGGGATGGAAGGTCATTGCTTCAAAGCACCCGAACATCAAATGATATAAAGGTAATAGCAGGGCTGAAGATAGGAAGGAGGGTAAGGGAAAAGAAGACGGAGGAACAATTGCGGTCAGGTCATTGCCATCTATGACATCCAAGCTCGGAAAAGAACACAGCGAAGAAAAGAGACAGCATAAATATTCTGCCATTATGCAGTACCAGCATATCATAATGCAGCAAGATAAGGAATATCAGGAGCAAGGGGTATCTAGGGAGAGAAGACAAAGACATGACACATATAGAAAGACAGCCGGGTGAGAAGAGATCAAGCGCCCCCTTTCTGAGCTTTTTCTTGGGCTCTACTCATGCGCGCAGCTTTCACAAGCGGCGCCAGGTGGGATAGAGGGGAGCAGAGGGACATGAAAGGATGCTAAATTAATCAACATTAGTATCAAGGAGACCTCGAATGTGGATCGAGTGGACATACCATCAATAAGTCATGGGCCGATGCTCTCTTCTCGGGATCAACCTTGAGTGCAAAATGCAGGAAATCGCGAAAGACGGGCGACAAGTTATGCTCGTCCTTGATGGTTGGTGTGCCATTGGTGGCAATCAAGTACAGGGCTCGCAGGGGTGACTCGGTCAGATATGGCGGCTCGCCCTCGATCATCTCGATCGCCATGATACCCAAACTCCAAATATCAACCTTGCGGCCATATTCCTTTCTCGTGACGACCTCTGGGGCCATCCAGTACGGGGTGCCGACCATGGTGTTGCGCTTATTTTGTGAGTCATTGATTTGGGCGCAGAAACCGAAATCGGCTTCGCATTGTTAGCGGAGGTAAATCGCAACGGGGTTATGAATTGACTTACTCAGCTTGATGTTGCCATCTAAGGAGAGAAGGATATTGTCTGACTTGATATCCCGGTGAATGACGCCCTTTGAGTGGAGGTGCTGCAATCCACTCAGAGTCTGACTGGCTGTCAGCATTATCCCACAGGCTTTGTACCTCTCCATGGTAAGCTTACCTCTCGGCACACAGCTGCAATCTGTCCCTCAGTCATTATATTGAACGTAACCACGTCAGTCAGACTACCGCCCTCCATATATTCCATCACTACCCACAGATCCAAGCCATGGAGGTAGCTGTCGAGGAAGTTGACAATATTTTTGTGTTTGCTGTCTTTCATGACGAGGATCTCGTTAATTATAAGCTCCTTCTTTGGTTGTAAGTCCAGGTTCATTTGCTTGATTGCGACGCAGTTGTTCGTGCCATGTTGATAAGCAGTGTAAACGCCGCCCGATGCTCCTTGGCCGATCTTGTTCAGATTATAGTAGAGCTTCGTCGGATCACCTGGAGTACAGATGGCAAGTAACCGCGCCCTTACGTCCACAGTATTACTTTGACGAGCGCGCTGCCGAGGACGAGCTGCTGGAACGGGCTGCGCCTTCTGAGGGCCTTGCAACGCGGTAGTATGATCATTGGCGTGCTGCGTATGTCCCATTTGCGTGGGCTGTTTGGGTTCTGGCCCGCGTGATTGCTGTTGGCGTTGGCTTCGGCTGCGCTCCAGTTGCTTCTGTACGATCGCTTGTTGAGCGGCAGCCATCGCTTGCTCCTGCTGCTGCTGATACTGAGCTGGCGAAGCAATGGCACCGGGCTGCGCCCATTGCGGTTGCGCACCGTTGGTCTTCGAATTTGACCGGCTGCGCTGTGCCTCGGACGGCAAAGGCTCAGATTCTGGGATGGGAGGCGTGCCGAATTGGTTGGAATATGCGTCTTGAGGCGGCCGTGCCACTGGGGCTGCGGTGCCGGTCGAGCAGGTGTCATGTTGGCCGGAGCAGGAGGCTTCGGAGGTGCTCGGTTGGGCACAAGCCCACCGATTGGTGGGGACATCGCCTGAGTAGCCGGGGCGCTGCACGGGGTATTGGAGGAGGCGCACGCGGATTCTCAAAACTGCCTTCGTGGTTCTGCGGGAACCGAGGGCTCGTTGGAGGCGAGTTTCGCTGGGGCCCGGTGTGTTCGCGGTAGGTTGATGATGAGCATAGGCGTGGTCGAACTTGTGCCAGACTTCGTCATCTCCGCGAGCGTTCTTCTCGTAGAATCGCATAATGTCGACCATGGTTTGAGGATGCTCCTCCTGCTCCTTCTTGGAGATGCCGTTTTCTTGCAGGAGCCGTTGCCATTCTTTCGGCAACCCGGTGAACTGGCCGGTGCGGTTGTCGTAGCCCACGTGGGTGACATGAACAGGGTTTTCGGGGGCGGAGATCTTGATCCCTCGGGGAGACCCTAACATGCTGTTGACAAAGCTCGAGAAGCTGCTCTTCTTACTCCGCCCGAAAACCTTTGTTCCATTTCCCTCGTCCGAGTGCCTCTTCGTGTTTGCTGACTGGTCATTTTCGCTTTTGTGAGTGAAGGCATCCATACGGTTCTGTAAAGCGGTGAAACTCGCCGACTGTCTGAGTCCGCGGGAATCGGGGCTGGTGTGGTAGGATCGTAACGTCGGCGGTTGCGGCGGAGGACTTTTCTCGGACTCTGCGCTGTTCTCTTCCAATGCACTGAGCATGCCCCGTGAATCAAACGGGGAAACGGTCAATTCATCAGAGCTGGGGTCGGTATTGAAAGAAAACCGCCCCGGGCGGGACTTGTTCGAAAAGGAATTGTTGGAGTCGCCGCCAGCAAGGACAGGAGATGGACCCCCACTGTGTTGCTCGAGAGAGGATGAAGAGGAGCCGTATGCGTTGGATCTTGTGCGCGAATGTTCTCGACTGCCACTGACAGAGGAACGGGGATACACAGGCGCCGACGGGTGTCGTTTGAGTGACGTGTTGCTCTGCTGACTTCTAAGGATGCGGGAGGAGAAGCTAGGAGGGTCTTTTTGCAGTTTGCTAGACGTTCGTCTGAATTTTAAGGACGAAAAACCGTCGTTGCTCATGATGTGCGATTAGGAGGGGGTTCGGCGAATTGATGTGTAGTGACAAGGTGGGTGACAGGTATGCTTGAGTGGCTCGATTGGAAGAAGGTGGGGGAAAAGCCACCAGGTGAGGCGGTGCTCCTGGATATCCCTTCAGTATCTTTTTTTGGCGGTCGCTGGTTTGTGCAAGGGATATGTGGATGGATCTTGATGGATATGATTATTGATTGACCTTTCCGGAAAAATTAGGGGCCAAAAAGGCATACCGCTGTGTTGCTGCAAAGATCGAGTGATTTGCGGGACGGGATGAAAACCCAGATAGAGGGAGCGAAAGAAGCTACCGCGGGCTAGCCGTGACCACAATAACCAGCGGTTAGCACGTGGAGAACCGCTGGATCAGTCACAGCAAGAGGCCTCCGACATAGGCGGTAACAGAAATTGGGACTTTTGGTTACAAGGGCAGAAGCGAAAGAAGCAGTGGTACGTATCTATCATCTGAGGTGGGCAAGGAGAATAGGTTGCAAATGCAAGCCGAGTGTGAGAGATCAAACGAGCAGGTTGCAGGAAAAATGCATAAGCCCGACAGCTCAGCACACCGATCTGCAGTAGTGCACCAAGGGGATGACAAGAAGGAATAACAATCATCCAACAACGACCAGACAGGGGGTTGGATGGATGGATGAATAGATGGTGGCGAGGATGATGATGATGCAGACAAGTTCCAGCCAAGTGACAATGTGCTAAATGTTGGGGATAGACGAGCGGAAATTTCTTATAATTATTATCCTTGATCCTGAATCTCGAAATTTGAAGGAGCCAGTGATTGAGTTAAATTGCCTTGACTGGCTGGACCAGCACAGCAGCCGGGATACAGTTCTACCCGTAGAGAGTCCTGTAGATGTCTGATATGAGTTATTTTATCAATCCTTGCGGTGATCTCTACCAGTTCTCTTCTATATACATGGTAGTTTGATAAGAGTTGTATCAAATGGTCGTCCTAGGAAAGTCACCCCATATCATGGTGACGGGACGGAATGAACTTTTCAATATGATAGCCACTTGCTTGACCCATCAAGGGAAACTCTTGGCTTGATATCCTCGCATAAAGACTTCAGTCATGTTACAGCACAGAACTATAATTAGTTCTAGAAGTTTAAACTACCTTAGGTTCTTTCTTTTAGGTATCCAGAGATGTACTTTTGTTTCGGCAGTAGCCAATTACTGCATCCGCACCAGCAATTTATCATCGTGATATTTGGTAAGGGAGTAGGGGTAGGTAGGTTGATAGAATCATGGACCATGCATGTCTCTTTCTTCCTTTTAGGACGTTTGATCGAAGCTGGGCACAAAGCCACATTATACTTTGTACCCCGCCTTCCAACCAGCGAGCTACCAACGTCCTTGAAGAGTGAGACGTGATGGGTGCGATGTTCTGTTAAGAGCTTCAGGGCCCATTATTGAGTTGTTGACTGCTGAAGGCGTACCTAGATATGCTGTTCGACCTTATGTTACAGTCTGATACCATTGAAAATCGGGCTGTTGTGAATGTGTTTGAGGGGAAGCAGCCACAAGAGACGGAAGATACCGTGCGAAGCTGTTCTCCAGAGAATAATTCAATGCTGGTATCGAAGAGCGAGAGCAGCCACAGACGACCAGAATGGCGATGACGATGATGATGTGTCTAGAATTTTCCTGTTGCTAAGTTTGATGATTTACTTTTTGAGTGTCTGAGAGACTTGAGACAGATGATGTCGTTAGTGGTCCTGAGTCAATTTGAACTGCAGAGCGACTCCGTATTCTTTTTCCATTTTCTTTTTCTTTTCCTTTGACCTTGACAAACTGCAACACCACGTCGTAGCAAAAATCTGCCAGAGCTGTCAGAACTCAGAACATAGCTACTAATTAATTCACAGGCTGATATGTCTGGAGAGAGTCAGAGATTCTGTACAATCAAACTTGGCCAAGTTCCAACCATCTGTAGGACGAAATCGAGGGTGCTGAGTGCTCAGACCTCTCCCGCGTTCCGTCATTGCCCACTGGTTTTCTCCTTGGTCTTGGCAGTCATCTAAGGTCGAGACAGCAAGCAGTCAAATAGACACTCCCAAGGAATATCCTAGGCAGTTACATAGGTACGGCTTTCCCTTCTGCAGGTACACCATCGTTTTGAATCGTCCGGATGTGTGAACACACTTCCCCCTTGCGTCTATGCTTGTATCCCAGTCAAAGGTTGGAACCCAGTATTGGCATACCCGTGTCTCTCTGGGATTCGCTCGTTCTATCTCACTTCAATAGTCACTGTCTCTAGCCCCTGTGGTAGAATCATGGATAAATGGCATTGATGATACTGCTTGTTTTGAGTGTTGAAAGCTGTAAAACCTACTGTCTTAAACAGGGCAAGTCCTGCTCACGTTCCTATTCGATAGAATGACGGAACACCACACATTCTCTAGATTGCCAAATCGTCATGTATTATGGTTAAATAAGAGGCAGTTCTATGCTCATCAGGTTCCAGGAACGACACAACGGGGGACACCCTTCAAATCCCATTGGCCCAGCTTTGCATCAACCATCACCGTCATCGTCATCGCCAGCTTACGCCTAGTGTTGGATTTGTTCTTGGCCCAGCATCAAATTATACCTGTCGACGAGGAGATAAATGGGCCTTTGATATTGGTGATTTCCTAAGTCAATGTCATTGAAACGCTCTTAAGCAGAGAAAAGCCCAGGGCAATATACTAGAATTTGCACATTGGCTGCTTTCTCTGGAACCTCATGGCAAGTCCTGCGAGTCTGTTCCCCAAAGTCGGGATCTCCATATATGCACTCATTCCATACTGGATCTTCAACGTCAAACTGATTGCCCCAGGTGGGTTGCATCACGTAGAACCGACCGGGTTTACCGTCGTACTGTTACCGGGACTGCTCCAGCTTACACGGACTGGTAGCTTCATGGAGCTCGGTCATCGAATCCCCCGTGCCATAGGTCTGGCGAGCTTGCAAGGAAGGTAATACTGGGTGATTGTGATGGACATGACGCCCTAAATGGTCCTGTCAGTTCGCGCCTTCAGACTTAGATACAAGTCCGCAGTAGACACCTTTTGTCTTGGCTTCCGGTCCCTGTTTTAGTAATGGACTTGATCCATCCTCCCCAAGCTACTATAACAATCAGGGACTTAGTTCAGTATATGAATGGATTGCTCATAATATACAAGCAGTTTGCGGAAGGCCAACCCATCTACCTCCCAATGTATTTGAGTTCCAGTTTTCTTAGAGGGACATAAGTAACTGAGGTGAAGACGAACGCTAACTCGTTGGCAACGTCTCCTCCATCTTGCCCTATCATCTTCGCAATAGCACCAACATAGTAAGTCTCGACCATGCCGACGATCCATCCAGCGGCACCGCACAGGAACGCTGTAAGTCCGGCATAGCCGACAGGCATTCTTGATGGTGTATTCCACGCATCGAGATCATAGTTGGAGAGGCTACCCCCGCGGAAGACATAGTGCTCGGTGAACAAGATCACGAAGAAAGACGTGTTCCAGTAGCCCAGCAGGGACAGAAAGTTCTCCAGAACGTCCAACAGGTGGTCTCGACCAGCAATGCCGAGAAGGAGAATGCAGACGAATACGAGGAACGACCAGACTATCCGTGGGAGTTTTGCAAAGGGCTTGGCAAAAAGCTGCGCGGAAAGCGCACCTGAGTAGATAGCAATACAGTTGACACCAACTAAAGGAGTATATTAGCGAAAAGTCATGCTGGAGCGGAATGGAGTTCGTTAAAAGAATATCACATACTTCCAGACAGAACCAGAAGGACCAAGAGGAACTTGGCAAATCCTCTAGGGTAGATAATTGTCTTGAGAATCTCCCCGATACCGTTCTCGTAGGCAGCAGCCCATTCAGGATTCGTATCCAAAGCCGAGCTGATGCAAGCACCAAGCAGCATTCCGATACAGGTTGGAATCGTGATGCCCAGAGTGGTGTATAGGAAGATCTTGATCTTGGGGATGTTGGCCGGGTAATGAACATAAAAGTCCGAGACAATGGAGCTCCAGGATGCGCTGGAGCCGTACACCACACCGATCAAGGTCAGAGCATTTCCTGACCTGGTGAGACCGGTAACGGTAGCAGGGGCGGCTAGGTTGGCCCGATGCGCAGACTCGCCGTAGATGATCATGAAAATGATGAAGAATAGGATCCAAGCGTATTGCTCATACATCAGGACTCCCCTGAGACCGACGAAACTGAAGAGGAAACTGACACACGCAACAATGACCACGCCCACAGCAATCGACAAGCGGCCATCGGAAACGGCGCTGAGGGCAAGACCGCCAGTGATGCAGTTGACAGACGCCCAACCGAGTTGCTCGATCACGTTCAACGCAGCGATAATGGATGAAGGATAGAATCCTAAAGAATATCTAGAGATGGCAACCTGACGAAGACCAGTACCAGGGCCCATAGTGGCGCACCAGCCCTAAGGCGTAAATGTAAGCCGCTGGAAACCCAAAGGGGAAGAGCAAATCGCTCTAGGAAGATCCAGAGAAATAGGAAAAGGTATGCGAACCGTCACAGCGGCACCAAGGAACGTCGCACAGATGGTGATAGCAATGGTCTGTCCCAAAGACAATCCAAATTCTTTTCCCAAGAACCCCGTGCTAAAACAACTGATGTTGATCGTAGCAGACGCCCACATGAAAGCCATCGCCAGGGGGTTAGGAGGTTTACGATTTTCCGGAAGAACCCTGTCAAGGCTGTGTGATTCAATTCCTAACTTGCGATCCAGCACCTCTTCATAGTAACGAATTTGAGAGAGCAAACCACGCGGTTTGACGGGCTCTTGTTCTTCCACTGGGATGGAGGTTGGCTCAGGATGAGCCTTTTCCTCTGCATCGAGACCGCGTGGATCCATGTCGAGGGTAGATACTCAGCTTGGAATTGACAGGAGGCGCAAGACAGCGTCCCACACAAGCCTTTTTTTCTACTCTTTACACAAGCCTTTTTTTCTACCCTTTACACAGGACGGGCGTGACGACCTTTTAAATCGGGGAGTGAGCTTAGCTTCGGCTGTCCCGTCGCGGCGCGGACGTCAATCTCTGCTATCTTCTCAATTTTTTTCCCCCGAAGATTGGACGACGATTTGTGGGGCTAGTGACATTATCTCGTCGATGTTCAACGAGACCACAGTCTGTGTGTGCGTGGCTCAGTGCCCCAGAATTAATCCATGATCCATCAAGTCTAGCCTCCGAAGTCCGAACGACCAGGCTTGCACTATTCCCATTTTTCACAGTTTCGCGCCACTTGTGAGTGCGGACCTAAATCGCCGTGAGATATGATTGAGTGTTCAGATATCAGGAACAGGAATTGAGTTAAATGTGGTAATGAAAGCAACTTTCTTTTTGGTCTGTCTACGCAAGTAACTTTTGTCATCACCTGCCTCTTCTACTTAAGCTTTTGGGTCGCACCGGGCCTGGCTTGGCCTTCGGTAGCATGTCTCCGTGGCTGCGCTGGGCCACTGGCTGGGTGAACCGACAACCCTAGCTGTGGGTCGGAGAAATCTTAAGGATGCGTACCACTCCTTGAGAAGCTCGAGAAGCAAGTTGATCGTCAGTGATATTCGGTGAAAAAACCACCATCTACCTTAGTATTTAGAGGCAGTATTTGACACGAGCTGTACGATGCACGAGGAAGCCCCATGCAGCATGAAGTGCAGGATCAGACCCCCTGATCGGTTTTAGTAGTCTAGGCTTTCCAGAGGCCATAACCACCATCTAGACTGATAATTTTATGTCGTTCATTGCGACAGTTTAACACACGTGTCGATTGGCACTCTTTATATTCTATGCTTCCCCTTCCTGTGATCGTCAAAGCTGCCCATAGGTTATTCTGTAGGTGACGCCTTATGAACCTATTTGTATTAGCACTTCCCTCATTAGATTAGTAGAGGGAACATGATCCTCGTGGTAGATTAAGGTAAGTTTTGGCAAGCCGAAGTTCGTTTTTAGCATTGTTGGATGGCTTAGTGAGAGGAATTGACTGGTTTGCTGTTGCTTCAGTCTATTAGATGCAAAGTATCAATATATGTATGGAAGATTATGCAAGTGATTACGATGTTTTAACATCTCTTGAATGTGCAGCAGCCGCAAAGCCATTCGTGCGCTATTTATCTATTTACTGAGATCCGAGCAGTGGATACCTATCTTTCGACTCTCATTTTTCCTTTCTTTTTCTATCTGATAACCTTATCAGGTGAACAATGTAGCAGATGTTGGGGATATATATAAGGTCCACTACAACCAATCCTTTATCCTGATCAGTAATTCTAGACCTCCATAGATCCACATAAACGCAGAAGATTGCCTTAAAGCATGGCATGAGATATTCTACCTTATTCAGTGCCTGCCATCTAAGTGAACAACACCAATGCTTTTTCGCCATCCTCTCTCTCTTGTGATCATGGTGGGTGGACTTGGCAGACACAACCTCTGGGCGGAAGCCTGAGGCCAACACGTTATGTACTCGCACCGTGTTCAGTTCCCAAACACCCAATTGAGAGGCTTGATTGATGTCAGCTCATTCATACACAGTAGAATGTAATCAAATGCTTAGAAATGAGTTAGCTCTATAGAAGTATATTTAAATAGGGGATGATATTGGATGTTCAGTACAACTGGTGGGAGGGACGAGGCTCATTGTCGGCTCCGCCCTCGAGCAACCCGAACAGGAATTCACCCCCGGCCGTTCCACTAGTAGAGTACTTCGGCGAATCGAGCTGTCTGTCCTCTTCCTCTTCTTCTCCCCCAAATTATTCTGATCATCACTGTCATCATTGCCCGTCAAGCACGAGCATTGACTTCCCTTTCGTGCTCGTTCCTCCTCTCTCCTCACTCATCCTTCTTCTCTTCTCTTTCTCTTGATCACGTTTCCTCTCAATTGTCTTTTTATTTATCCTCATCCCCGCTAATTTGGTGATGCACTGTCCCTTTACCTCTTAGCCTCCAAGCGTCCACAGATCAGCAATTGGTCTTTACTCTTCTTCTCCAGACATTTGGATACAATATTTGGCTACCAATATCATTAGAAACTCTTTGTCAGTTTCATTTACACTTTGTTTATTAGCGGTGCTATCTTTGCTCTGGTATGCTCAATGTTCCTGTGTTGGCTTCTTCCTGGACGGAGATCACATACTAATCCATGCATCGAAAAGGCTTACCTATTAGACTTTCTCCTTTCCCTCCCATCTCGAGTACATAATTCTCATTTTCGGTATCAATTGACGATATTTGATGATGGCTTCTCAAGTACAGAGCGGCGATGTTAACGGTGGGGCCAAGTCCCTTGCAGCCATGCTGGAGGAGGAGCATGCCCGCAATGAGGCGCATAAGGTGACGGTGGAGGATACCGTGGACGAAGAGGATCAGCTGCATCCCCCTCCATCATTGGGAAAGGACCAACAGACTGCTCCCGCCCAACCCACAGCTGCAGTCGAGGAAGCAGTCGCCGCTACGCCCTCGGCTCCCAATCCGGCTCCTAAAAAGTCGCCTGCTTTTGATGTCCGCTCCGAGGAGCTGTTCCCCGCCTTGGGAAGTGGCCCTAAGCCCAAGGCACCTGCTGCAGCCACTTGGGGTGCCAGGCCCTCTGCCGCTGCTGCTCTTGCCAACGGTGTCGCTGGACGCCCACAAGCGAGTATGTTGTTCTATCGCCCTGTCTGTACTGCGGCTTGCTCTAACCAGTTATCGATCAGCAGCGGGCGATGTTCCTAGAATCATGAGTCTTCCCGGCAAACACATGGAGCAGCTTCGTTTAGCGCCCTCTCAGATGATGCCGCGAGCACAGCTCAAGAAGCCCCTGAAGGATATTCTCCGTGACATCTCCAGGCGCTCAAAGGCCACTGTCGATATGCGGGGTGGCCCTGGAGGCTCGATCATCTTTGAGGGCAGAGGCTCGGTCGAGTCCGTAAGACAGGCTCTCAAGGAGGTTGCACAGCAAGTAGGATCCAAGGTATGCTCTGACATCTTCTTGATTGATGTTCCTCGTTTTTCGGTAACTCAGGAGAATGTAGCAATCGGTCCGCGTTCCCATCCCAACATCCGCCCGCGCCCACATTATCGGCCGGCAAGGTGCCATTGTGCAAGACATTCAACAACGGACGGGTGCACGTGTCCAAGTGCCCCGCGCCGATGACTCGGCCGCAAAGGACGACGAAGACGACAACGACACGATCGACGTCCTGATTGAGGGTGACGCCGTTGCGGCAGAGATGGCACGCCGGGAAATTGAAGCTATCGTTAAGGAGCGGGCCTCCAACATGAGCCTGCGACTAAAGTCGATTCCGGCCGAATTTTTCCCCTTCATTGCGGGTGCGCATAATGCGAACCTGAAAGCTATCGAGGAACGTACCAAGGCTCAAGTGCATGTGCCTCGGTATGATACATGGCAGAGCCAGCCTCCCCCGCAGGAGGCTGAGCCTGGACGTGTGCAGTTTGTCCCAGCTTCTGATAAGCACATTCAGATCACTGGAGAGCGCACTGCTGCACAGGAAGCTCGCGCCGAAATCGAGAGGCTTGCCGCCGATCTCCAGAGGCGACTAACCCTTCGGCAGTTGGCCATCAACCGCGGGCAGCACCAGTTCATCCTCGGGGACGGCGTCAATGGTCTTCATGACTTCCTTGCTGATACGGGCTGTGCTATTGTGCTACCACCGGCATCCGATGACAGTGAATTCCTCACCATCACCGGACCGCAGGACTGCATCGAGGCTGGTATCAATCGGGCAATGGAGCTTGCTACGAGCATGCAAATGGCCAGCATTGATTTGTCCCGTCAACATCCCAACGCTCCTGCCGGACCTCATGCACACGCACGTGCCCTCACTCGGTACCTTCAGCAACGACAGATCATTCGGCAATTGGAGCAGATGTACGATGCTCGTATTGCACTCCCGCCTAGCGCTGACGGCCCTGTGACCTGGGAGGTTTACTCGCGGGATGGCAAGAATACTATCCGTGCACGGTCTGACATCATGAACTTGGTCCAGGCTCACCCTCCTGCAAGGCTTCGCTATGTCTCTGTCGATCCTTACTACCACCCGTACCTTGAGTCCCATGGTCTCGGCAAGCTCCGGAGTGATTACGGTGTCCATCTTCTCATCCCGGATGAGCTGGATAGCTCCGATGTTGTTCTCGTCTATGAAGGACCGTCCGCCGCCAACTCGCTGCCCGAAATCCCCCGCCAGAGGCCATCCCCGGCTGAGGTGGCTGCCTTTGAAAAGTCCCTGCAGGAAGCACAGGATTTCCTTACGCAGCTGCTGGGAGACCAGAATGATATCGTTGCTAAGTCCGTTAAAGTTCCTGCTAAGTACCAGGAGAAGGTACGCAAATTCATCGCCCGCGAACAGCAGGCAAAGGGTGATGCCCAGATTCCTGTCCGTGCTCTCGTTGGAGATGCTCGCAATGATAAGTGTGACGTATCTCTGCGCGGTCCATCCCGTCAAGTGGATGAGTTGGTGTCAAAGCTGCAGGACTTCGTAGTGGAGCAGGAGAAAGATGACCTCGAAAGAGGCTACACAATCTCGTTCGACTTCCCTCAGAAGTTCGCAAACTTCCTCATTGGCAAGCGAGGCGAGAACATCAACAAACTTCGCGAGGAATTCGATGTTGACATCAAGGTTGACAACGGCAAGGTCGAAGTCAAAGGACCCAAGGCTAAAGCGGATGCTGCCAAAGCCCGCATCATCAATCTGGGAAAGAAACTGGAGGATGAGACAACTCACATTCTGAAGATCCCCGCACAGTACCACCGCGAACTTATCGGCCAGAAGGGAAGCCAGGTCAACAGACTGCAGGACCGCTACTCTGTCCGCGTTCAATTCCCCAGGGCGGCTGTTGCAACGCCTAGCTTCGACGATCAATCCGTGGCAGACACTTCTAGCGAAGTCGGCGGCTCTCGTCCTATCCGCCCCAATCAGGCCCCTGATGAAGTCATCATCAAGGGCCCGAGCAAGGGTGCGGATGCCGCCAGAGATGAGATCTTGAGTCTGTTGCAGTGGGTCATTGACCACTCTCACTCGGCTACAGTATCTGTCGCTCAAAGTCAGATCCCATCCCTGATCGGCCAGCGTGGCCGTGAGATGGACAAGCTTCGCGCTGATACCGGGGCGCAAATCGACGTTCCGGGAGCCAATGACGCGCCCGACGCTTCGGGTCGTGTGCAGATAAAGATCAAGGGCACAAAGCAGCAGGTCGAGGAAGCAAAGAAGATCCTGGTGCAGCGTTCCAGCGAATTTGACGCTATTGTCACCAAGACGATTGATGTTGACAAGAAGCATCACAAGGCTTTGATCGGCGCTGGCGGTAAGTTTGTGATGATATAAGTATCTCGTCCATCTTGGAAACTGACTCGATGCCCAGGTGCGAACATTCGCAAGATCGTTACCGAAGCCGGTGGTCCTACCGACGGAAGTGCGTCGCGCATTGTCAGATTCCCCCGCCCCGATAGCAGTGAATCCACTATCAAGTTGGAAGGAAATGGCAAGGTCGTTGAGAACATCATTGCTGCTATTGAAGCTTTCGCAAAGGAACGCGAAGACCAGGTGACAGTCACTGTCGACATTCCTCCTGCACAGCACAGACTACTCATCGGTCGCGGAGGCGAGACGAGACGCGGTATTGAATCGCAATTTAATGTCACCCTGGACATTCCCAAACAAGGCTCTGGACGGTCCGATATCAAGCTGAAGGGTCCAAGCAACGCTGTCGAGGGTGCAAGGGAGCATATTCTCGCCATGCTGAAAGATCAGCAGGGTGAAACAGTCGAAGTTCCTCGGCATCTGCACCACGTTATTGCAGACAATGGCGCGTTTTTCCGACGCCTCCGCAACGACTACCGAGTTACTGTCGACCACGCTGGCCAGCAAGTGCCACCCAAACCGGCTTCCGAGGAGTCCCGCGCCACGACCAACGGGGCGTCATCCCTTCCATTGATCACTGATGAGCCCAGCGACTCTGTGGAGGCTCATTCCTGGAAGGTTGTCGATCACAGTGCTGCCGCGCCAGACCCAACGCAACCCGCGACCATCCCATGGGTACTTATTGGAAGTAGCGACAATGTGGCCAGAGCCAAGTCCGCCTTGGAGAAAGCCATTGCTTCTGCATCCCAGCAGACTGCGACTGGCTATCTGATTCTGCCCGATCCGAAGACATACCGTTTCGTTGTTGGCCAGGGCGGAAGCCAGATCAACGCTATTCGCAAACAGACGGGATGCCGGATCAACGTGCCCAAGGACCAGGCTCGCGGTGAGGCGATTGAAATCAAGGGCAGCAAAGAGGGACTGGAGAAAGCAAAGGAGATGATCCTTGACGCCGTCCGCGCTGGACTCAACGGCGGCTCCAGATGAGCCTCATCTTTCTTTTGCCGTCGCTTCTCGGAATGAATGTCCTGATTTTGCTTGGGGACATTTATAGCCTTGACGCCCTTACGATGGTCTTTTACGCATCTGCATTCCATAAAATTCCGCTCCATGATCAGCATTGTGTCTACTTTCTATTCTTTCTTGTCCTAAATTTATCATTCTCTTTGTGTATCTTCTATTCTACATTTTTTGAGCAAAGCTGTATTCACGTGCTTCTGTCTATCTTGATCATCCATAGCGCACTCCACTGTTGAGAGCAGGAGTGAGCCAGTATACCACCTGTCATCACGGCAAGACGGGGAATCTGAACTGAACCAAGACACATTCAAAAGCGGTCTATTTGACAAAGGGATATAGTAAGAGGGAGAAAAGGGGGCAAAAAGAAACAAAAGACAGAAGCCAATCGCTCCTCTACTATATTATCTGTAGGCATAAGTATGATCGTATAACGTCCGCGAAAATCTGACTTGGAGTTCCCCTAAAAAAAGAGGGGAACACCAAGGACAGCGAAAGTAAACAGAAATATCTGCTTTGGGTATCATCACCCAGCAATCCCTTGTGAAATAACAGAATCGCCATCAGACAGACAAAATCAGTCACACGGAAACCAGCATCTCTCCTGTATAAATTCTCTGGGGAGTAAAAATTTTTTTAATTTGTCGTTCCAGACCTCCTTTTCCGTTGCAGACACATCTACTGCTGTTGAGAATTGGCCTGGAGGTACTGGTAGGCACCGTAAGCGACAGCAGCGCAGACAACCAGGACGGCGTACATGCCGAACCCGCTGGACGAGGAAGCGGCGCCTGTGGTAGCGGAGGTCGAGGGGGCAGGCTTAGCGCGGGGGCAGGGTCGCCGGGCTAAATAGGAGAGACAAATTAGCTTGGATCCGCGCAAGTCAGTCAGATTTTAGAATGGGAGAAAACCTACCAGGCGCTTCACGGTACCGACTAGCAGACCCTCGAGGATCTCGCGGGCCTCGTCACTGTGGCCAACGTCCTCGAAGGCCTCTGTGCTGTCCTGGCCGGCTACGTCGAGGAGAACCTCCTCACCTCCACTGCGGATTTCGAGTCAGTCCTGGATTTTATGCCTTTGGACGTGAGATATGGGGGATGAGACGTACGGGTGCTCATCGACGAAGCTGGAGCAGTCGTAGACCTTGTCGTGGACGATGAGGTAGAGATCCTTCTTGGTCTTGTGCTCGGAGATCTCCTGGAGGGTGAATTCCTTGGAGGCGGACATTGTGATTAAAATATTCGGTTTATCTGGATTGGTGACGATTGTTAGATTTCTGAGAAAGCAGTAGCGATTGAGAGGGGAGTAGATGAGAGGGGAAGAAGGAAATGCGAGCAGTCAGCAGTCAGCAGTCAGCAATTCCGTCGGCGTACGATGTCGGACGATAAGGCCAGCGTTTTGCTTTTCAGGTACTTCTCCGACAGGGGAGTAAACACGCCTGTAGACAGAGAAAGAAAGTAGACTTACCAGGAACAGACAACGGAGAGAGAGGAAATTTGACTGAGCGCTGAGGAGAGACTAGGGATCAAGGCAGTGCCAAAAGACAGATAGACAGATAAAATTGAAATAGGGAAAGGGAAAATGGGGGAGGACAGGGAGGAGATTCGGTGAGGAGAAAAGAAGAATCCAATGGCGGCGGGAAGTTTAGTTGGGCGATCCCGAAAGATACTGGGGTTGGCCTCTTATTCCAGAACCTAACCTCAGGCACCGCTTCGTTTACTGCCGTGGATCTGATCCGGTTATTCCTCGGGCACCTTCTGAGCGATCAGATCAAGGGCTCTTACAATTGTGTTGTCTTATGCATTGCTCTACTACTAATACTCCGTACCTCTCTACCTGACTCTAAGATATCTAGCAGAGGTGGTCTGATAGCGCCGGATAGACAAGGACTCCATCTTCCCCTCCGCGAATAAAAAGCCGCTTATTTCTCGTCCCCTCTCATCTCTTTATTACTCATTTTCCGAGATCTAAAGGCCAGATTATATAATATTCCGTGTATTCATGTGTTCACTTTCTCGATTTCCATAACCAAGAGTATTTCCATAACCAAGAGTCAAGAACTGTTCGGACTTCTATTCTAAGAAGAGCGCTGACATGCACCGCAGGATAATACTTCCCAATCAGGCCATCAGCAGAACATCTCGAGGATGGATGGATACTCTAATTGACTGAATTGGAATGGTCTCCCGCTTGTCCTTATGGAGACCGGAATCCAGATCTCGCTTCCTACTCCACCTGAATGTTCTTGCCTACGGAGTACCTAGACTCATATTCTCACTGTCATTGTAGCTTGTAGGCATCTATGCCAGACAGTATGAGTCGAAAAATTTTGCCAATTTGTAGCTAACACAATGGTATTCACCACCTGAACTCCTTGTATTCAGATTCATACTATGCAAGGAGTTCAGATGCAACAGTGAGCGTCTATTCCGCTAAAAATCTAAACTGTAGTAAATCTTAACAGTGGCTTGATGGTCCACAGACCAATTTTAACCCAATTAATGTTCATGATTGTCACAGGCAGCCCCAGGAAGTTGACCAACACTCTCTGTTCCGCGGTCAACAGCCATAACCTCGGGGATGATCAACTGCGGCAAACCTCTCGGATAGCGTGCTTAGACTTCCGTCGTTTTCTGCCTGAGGATGGCCCTGGTTCCGACGTCCGCGGAATCTATCACAGGCCAACTACCACAAGAAATGCTGTATGAGGACCTGGGCCAGGATCCATAGGGGCCGTTGAATGACAAATGTACAATTATCCTGTCAGGAACTTCTATACTTCCCATTGCAACAGTATCTACCCAACTCTCTCTATATACAACAATAGCATTGCTGGTGGACTCATGGACAGACATGCATGGCTAAAGGAAAAAGAAAACAGGCCAAAGTCAAAATCATTTATGGATCATCATCAGGTATCATGTCGTCGGCCGTCATTCCCCTGCAAATAGAGCAAAAACCATCATCTCATTTCCGAAGCAAAGAATGCTCAAGGTGTATCCGAAACCCAAAAAGAAACATCAAAATGCAAATTCGTGGCAGTTTCACTTCGCCGGAACTCGCTCGTAGAATACAATATATGCCTGTTCGTTCTGCAGCCGGTCCTTGAAGCGCAAATCGCGTGGGTTAAAGTCGGTCGCCCGCTCATCGTCAAACTTGCGCCAGCATTGGCGCTGCGCATCCCGCACCAGCGATATATAATGTCCGCTCCCCATGGTCGATCCAATATGGCGCAACACCCCATACGCATCATACGTGAAAGGCCCTGTGGTCGCAGAGGTCATGTCTGCAGCCCTGGCATCGTTGGCAGATCCAGGGGTCGCAGAGATGACGAAATCATCCATCCGAAGCCCATGCAAAGGAAAATCAATGGGTGTATGGATCTTCCGCGCACTTTGCGTTTTCGATGCTGAAAATCTCTTGAAGTGGATGACCAGAATCTGAGGCGCCCGGGTGATGATGATCTGTTTCGTTGCCACCCTCTCACATTTGCAGTAAGGACACTTCCACACTTCATCCCCACTCAGCAGTTCCTCCTGGCAGTAACTACGCAGGCATTGATAGATGTCGCCCGTGCCGGTGGGTGGAATTTCAACACTGATACTGTAGAAAGCCTCATACGTTGTTGACGTCCGCTTGCAGGTCGTACATCGAAGTCGACTGGCATGCTGGCCAGCAAACAGTGAGGAGATGAAGGATTCTTCCCGGTGACAGTAGCGGTCCCACTCAATCTTGGAGACCTTGGGTACAGGCATCCGCTCCCGCTGCATTTCTTCCTCGAATGTGAGCGGCCGGAGGGGAGTCCTCTGCCAGTTGATGTTGAGGTCCTCATGCAAACAGTCCACCACAAAGTCAAAAAACTCCTTGGCATCCTGTTGCCGATCGATGGCCCACTCCTGATTCAAGCGGCCGCAAAAATTACGAAATGATGTCGGCATGATCACCTCCACATCGTTCTTCCACAGCGACCTAATCAGATTCGCAAATAGCCCAGGCATGACGCCTTGTGATCCTTTCCAATTCTTTTGAACGTAGAACCGGA